CTTATGGTATTTATAATTCAACTTTAGAGCCACTTGGGCCATAAATAGTGTAAAACTCCATAGAGGCCATAACCATCATTATTGCTCCTGGCCATCACTTTGAAACAACAAGACACATGAGGAATGGTGTTCTACCCTTACAGTTTACACAAGCTAAAACGACTATGCCTACTTCATTCAACTTCTGACAGCATTGTATTTTAGGGTGTTCACCTACACATTTTAATATATGTAGATGTATTCATGTATTTATTTCCTCAGTGTCATGCATGAATATATATTAGTGATTAATAATAAACTAGTTCTGAAGTATTCTGCTTCTTCTGAATCAATTGGATGAAGCATCTACTTATTGAGATATGATGGGAAAGAATAATCTGTAAGCATGCTGTAATTCAGTATCGTTTTTCCATTTAATGGTTACTTCATTTTTTCCCCCTTCTACATTGCAAAGGGTCATCTCTCTCAAATTGGGATTTTCCCCTTGCTTCCACTGTGAATGAGATCTAAGGGATAGCACGTACAATCAGTTGAACCTCAAGTGATAATTCAATTAGTGAAAATCTATAACCCCCCTCCCAAAAAAACCTTTCAACCCCACAATTGCTCTTGGTGTGTGGAAACCACTATGAGGTGTCTCAGACTGTGTCTTTGTGTATTCATGGAAGCATTCACTGTATTAAGAAAAAAATTGAATATATGCAGTGGTTCAACGATAGAGATTACTGAGGGCCTGTTATGCAATAAGCAATATTGTGCCACTGAATCAACAGGAACTAGGATTACATTAGTGGAAATGCTGAAGTACTAGGAACACTTTTCACTCAATTGTTTTGTTTACCATAAGGAACTATGGTCTCAAATTAAAGCTCCATATGGATCTAGGCTTCTCAACCAAAGGGATCGAGGTACACACATAGATCTTCATAGAAGTGAAAGGGACATTCTTTGAATATAATGGAAATTTAAATGCAGGCATTGCAACTTTGCCACTCACAAAGATTTTTTTGATCAGAACTGATGTCCTTAGAAAAAAAAAGTAGATATTTAATCATGAGTGTTTTTCATCAACGCAACCTTGTCTACCCAAATATGGGATGGAGCACACTGCTTTTACTTTTGCCTTTCAGCCCCAATCCAGGAGCTTTCACAGGCCATCGCTTTCGTGACAAATTTTTGTGTTAAATGCATTTTATTTGTCGATAAACATAAATTTAATTATGAGTAGGACAAGATTAATAACAAAACATAACATTTTAAACAGAATCATTTGCATATTACACTATCTAATTAGCAACTCTTATAGAAGAGACACATACTTTTATTTAGAACAGAAAAGCTTCTTTTGTGATTTTAGAAAGCCACTTATCAATTACATACCTCCATAGAGCTGCATAGACAACTGCTAGGGTGATCAAAGCCAAGCATGAAAGGCCACTGCCTACTATTAGGGTTACTGAGGGAGTCCCAGATGATTCCATGATCTGTGGATCATAAGAAATATCTATCAGAGAAAATCATATTCTAATAACTGCAACAAAAAAAAGATCTTGCAAATATAATGGATAGATAGCTATTTCATGTCAATGGTATTACCAGTAAGCAGCCATTCCTCCCTACTTTAGCTTCAATTTGAGACTGTAATGCTTTTAAACCCATGGGATTTCAGCAGACCAAGTGAATACCTATTGCGTTGGCCTTGAATAGGATCAAGACCAATTTGACTCACCAAATAAAGGAATGGTTTTGTTTCTTTACAAGAAGGATAGTGATATCAACAGTTCCATGGGAGGTCATGATATTTATTGCCATTACAGATTCTTAGCTTTAGAAAAACAGCAACACATTTTGGAATTACATCTTCCCTTGAATGCCAAAGGAATGGGCTGAAGAAATGATTTGGTTTATTTTGACAAATTAAATGCTATCCAGTTCCTTTTCCAATACTTATGACCAAACTTTTTGACAGTACAATAACTTTCCCTTAAAGTCATACAATTTTTCTTGTGGCTTTAAATGGGTAAAAGAAACACCTTTGGTGTTGGGAGAAATTAACAAAAATGCATAGAGTAATTGAAAAATCTGGACCTTTAAAACAGACAGTCAAAAATTTCTTCTTATGTTTAATATTTTCACAGTTGAAGAATAAATGACCTTGAGGAAGAAAAGTCTTTTTAATTCAACCAAATATCCCTCACACATTCCCGCACTTGTACTTCTTTTATCAGTTTTTTTAAACTGCAAAATGTATATGTCATTGGCTAATTAAACAATTAAACCGAGAAGTTTTCAGAGATACCCTGCTTGATTTAGCAATATACTGTTGAAAAGCCTAAAGGCTCCAGTGTAAATTACATTTTATCTAGATATGATGTGTCATCTAGGCAATATAAAATGTATTGCTTAAAATGGATTTTCAGTTTATTTCGGTCAGACACTTCTAGGTTACAGGTAAGATGATTGCTGACTGTACAGTTAACACTGTTTCCCTTAGGTTTCCCAGGTATTTGAAAATCTATTTTAATAGGCAGGGCTTTTTTTAAAAACAAAAACAAAAAAACCCAAATCCATACATAATTATTTTTAATTATTTTGTATTTTTGTTCTAGTTTTATGCATACAGAACTGTCTCTCATAAATGTCAACAAATAATTTATATTCCCTGTACTGAAAAACGCACAGCTGCAATCTGTTTAACAAGAGTGGCTGGATTCCCTATTCTACTGGCACTAATGATCAGAAAGATCTCGCTCATTCCTATTTCATTAATTTATCCTTAAATGTAATCTACTACAGCTTCGAAGTTTTCCTCTTTACGAATAGGAACCTGCTCCACATCTGAAATTGATAGTAGTTGTTTATGTGGCAAAAAATATATATCTGTAGTTCATTTCCATAAACTGTAAGATATGGAGGGAGAAGATCCAATCTGTTTCTGACCCGCAAGCAGTGATATAATTCCTGAATACAGGTTACTGAAATATCTCTGGAGTTAATCCGGAATGCATTAAAACATTCTCCCAGCCTTTACATTAAACTCAGGGATTTTCTTTTTCCAGTTTCCCTCCCCTCCTTTGTTACTTACTATTTCTCTAGGTTGCTGAGCCAAAATGGCGAAGGTAGAGAGACGATCACATAAGCATTTCGTATGGGATGCATCGGTAAGCACAGTTTTACATCCCTGGGTGGACCAGCTTCCCAAAGAGTCGTTCCTGCAAGAAGAGAGAGGGAGAGAGAGAGAGAGGAGAGAGAGAGAGAAAGGGAGGGAGGATGAGAGGCAGAGGAGGAGGAAGAGAGAGAGAGAGAAAGAAAAAACCGGGATAATTACGGCGGGCGGTCAATTCCGTGAAAAGAAAAGGCAGTTTAATTGAGAGCAGAGTCTAGTGTGAGTTCCCGGACAGAAGAGATCTACTTGTTGTTGAATAGGACTTAATTTAGATGCATCTCCAGCTGTACAGTAATGCGGGGGGGGGGAGGGGGAGGAACAGAGGCGGCGTGGAAGGGGGGGGAATAGAAGGCAAGCAGGCAGCTCTGCCGAACGCAGTGAGCTGTCCAAAGCTCTTGGTGCTGAAACCACGTCCAGCTTCAGAGTTCTTTCTGCCAGCCAGAGAAGCGGAAGCTTTTCCCCGCCGTCCGCCGCTTCCCCTTAACTCGGAGCACTGCAAAAACTCATCGCGGGGGGAATAAAACAAAAGCCTCTTGTGGCGTTTCCCCCCCTCTCTCCCCCTACCCCCCCACCCTCACCCAGTGCATACCATCGCTGCCTGGATCTGGCTTCACGCTTATGTGAGGCTACAACCTTTCTCTCTCTTTCTCTCTCTCTCCCCCCTTCTCTCTCTCTCTCGTGGACGCGTGTGCAATTTAAATGCGGATGGCCGTGAGATATCTGCCTGATTAAGACTGATTTGAGATTGGCCGATTCTTAGGTCTTCCTCTGCTGCTCGGCTACGCTCCTTGCTGCTGCTATTAAGGTAGAGATCCTGCTCCGGTTGGGGTTTTAACCGTTCAAGCCGGAGGATTTCACCCTGGAAACCGGCAACAGCATTCCTCCTCCAACTCTTCCTCTCTCTCTCTTTTTTTTTTTGCCGCGCCTCTAGCAGTGGGGTGGATTTCAGCAGGGCACCACATCTTCAAAGAGGCACCTGGTCGCCCTCCAGACTTCCCCCTGTCCAGATCGGTTTCATCCTTCCCCCACCCTCCCCTCTCAGTTCCTGGGGTATTCGGGGAATGGGGGAGAGGAGAGGGCTGGTTGGAAGTATTAAGGGATTTCCCCCCCCCCCGCCCAACGCCAACCTTTTGGTTTTGCTTTTTAAAAACAGTCACCTATCTCTGATTAGATTAGCCCTTTAAAAAGACAAAAAGCTCCTGCTCAAATCTTCCCCAGCAGAACAATAAAATGGTACCAATCCACGTTTTCCTTGTGCGGAGAAAAAGAACGAGGCAGAAGTGGGGGTGGGGTAGCAGAGAGAGAGGGGGGGAGAGAGACAGCAAGGATATTAATCTTGCCTCCGTGTGAATTAAAGGCATTTGGGGGTGGGGGGGGGCTTTGAAAGAACTCAAAACTGCTATCACTGATTGTATGTATTGCATATTAAAATGGGATATTTTCCTTTCCCCTTGCATCCCTCTGCATAAATAATCTCTCTAGCCCACCTCAGGTTCATTGCCAAGGTTCATATGCAGCTATTCACATATTGCCTAAGCTTCTGCTTAGGCACCGGTGGGAGGACTCTGCCAGGAACAGCAAACTCTCTTACTTTCCCTCCCCAAGGTCCTTAAAATAAAGAGAAGCTGGAGAGGAGGAGTGAAAGCTTTCGCCTTCAAATACCACCCCCTTCTCTCTGACTTTGAACCACCTGCTTCGGATTTCCCTCTTATTTCACGGGCATTATGGTAAACAGCAATCCTTACCCACTCGTCCTTTTTCCTTCGAAAGGTACATCATCCCAACCCACTGTGCACCACTTTATTCTTCAATGCCCTGCGGGTTCATCCTTTGGCATTATAAATACTTTCAAGACCAGCCCGTAAAATAGCGCTAATCCCTAGATGTCATTTAACTATTTTAAAAAAAGACCATTTATTAAAAACTTGGAAACTATCACTACTAAATATATCTGCCACGGGTGAACCTCACACATTCATTGCATTTGTCCTCCTGGATATTGTTTTAGTAAAACATTGTTTTGTCTTGTTGTTGTTGTTGTTTGAGTCAAACAATATTGTTTTGTCTTGTGCCGTTCAGGCACAAATGAAATACATTTATCAGAGATGATTAAATATTCAAGAAGATTCTAGTTTAAGGGAAACTGATATGGTAACACATAAAAACAATGTTTAGTTTTTAATTCAGTTGAATTCAGAGGGATGCTTAATAGAACTGGATTAAACATGGAAAGTACTTGGCCACAGCCTAATATTTGGTTGAAGGCTACTGAGTTCAGGATATGATGGTTAGAGCTGGGAGAGCTTGTTTGGTTGCCATCATATTTAAAATGGAAACTCAGCCCACTAAGAATTAGACCATAAACCTCAGCCAATAGAGAAGGAGGAAGAAAATACAATGTTTGTTTTACTTAAAACCATATCGTCTACAATGCACACTCATGTACATCTTATTAAGCTTAGATAATTTCTAGATCATCAGTTTGATGGCTAAAGTCTGCACTAGAAACTAGAAAACTATGAATTCAAGTCTTCCTGTAGGGAAAAAAACTAGCTTGGATGAATAGATAGAAATCTAAAAAGTTATTTAATATCATTAGCCACAATTCATGGTGCTCCTTAGGGGATGTACAGAGCTCTGTTTATATAACCTGGATTTTTGTGGTCTTGTTGTCTCCACTGTTCTGCTTTGGACACCAATTATACCACTCTGTACAGTGATGATTTGTTTGGTAACTAAGGAAAAACAGGAAGAGAAGGAGCCCTGATTGCAGAATTTAATAAAATCTATTGGTTAAATGGTTATTGGGCTTCCAAATTAGCGAAAGGCCAAATTTGTATGTTGTTTTTGTGGCATGGCTTTGTCTTCCAAAACCATTTTTGATATAGTTGGTTCATATATACATCTCATAATGTATAGGGTATCTATAATATATGCAGTTACTTCCTGTGTAAATTTCAAGGGCCTTGAGAAAGACATGAAAATGCAATCAAAGCAGTCAATTTGTTGATGAAACTTGGAAGCCAACCATGTCGTTCCATTTATTTAAATGGTCTTTCTCTATTTAAGTGGAATGATACACTTAGTACTATATATGAAGCATTATAGCATTGCTTCTCTATAAGCTAGGCTTGCCTAAGATCATCCATTAAGACTACAAGCAAACTGAAATGATCCAGAATAATTTTTGCTCCTGATTTGACCACTGCATTGTACATGTGGAGGATGAGAGAAATTAGAAAACCTTAAAAATGTATTTCAAAAACAGGACAAGACAAAAAGTTCTGCATAATTATAATTTCAATAGATTAACACAGCATTTAAAAAAAACTTTTTATTTTCAAGTCAAAGTTTTTTCCTTATATAATTTAACTAAAAATTCACCTTAGCTATGCATGACTGCTACTCTCCTAAATGAAATTTGCTTAGAATGCACAACTGCAGCAGCAGCGGCAGCTCCTGGAAAATTGTGCCACCTATTGTTGCCTGAATCCATTTGTATTTTTGATAAACTATCTCCTTCTTTCCAAAAAGCTAAACCTGAAAAGGATTATTTCTAAGGTTTAAGTCATATTTCCACACAAGACACTTTCCATTTGATGATGGGAAGCACCCGATATCTCAAGGAACTATAGCAACAAGAAAAAGAACCACAATTCAATTAGAAAATGAAGGACGCTGCTATCCTTTGCATTTACACAGGTGCCTTTGATCCTAGTCCATTAGTTTCACCACCTAATTTTGGGAACGGTTATCAGAAGGGACAGAGTAGAAAAGTTGTCTTAATTGAGTGGAATAAATCTTGCTTTACTGTGGCTCCAATCTAAGGCCCATTCAATAACTGAAGGCATTTAAAGGAATATACAAGTGCAAAGGGAATAAGGGCACACAACCTATACTTGGAAGTATGGATATTTTCAGCTATTCATACCAATAAAATTTGAAGAAACCACAGATTTGGAGAAATGCATGAAAACTTTACCTCTTACACACACACTCAAGCAAAACCATTGCAAATCCCCGAACAGTCATAAAATAAGAATCAAGAGCCTTACTGAACTGGTTGAGATCATCCCCAGGAAAGCTATGATTTGATCATGATTGGAGGGAGCAATATTTGTCAGCTCTTTGCTCCTTCTACAACCTTCAGTCTTCTTTCAACATTGCTCTGAAGAGTCCTTCAACCTTCCCCATTGTATGTTCAATGTCAGAGCACAATAGAGGTTGGGAAACAATGAAGATTGCTTCCTTCCTCATCCTATCAGCAGAAAAGTTCTACTGGCTTGGAAATTTTCTCTGGATGGAAGAAACATTCCTGTTCACAGAAGACCGACTCTGGCACCAAGCCAAAGAGAATAATTAAGTTTGCATAATAACATGACTACTTAAATTTATCACGCAATTTCAGTGTTCACAAAATATATATTTTGAGTATGTATTCAGAACAACTTTTTAATTATCCTCCTTAAATTCTATATATTTTCGAAATGATCTGTCTACAATTATAAATAGACTAAATAATGTATAAATTTAAAAAAAAAATGAAAGCAAATCTGTAGTAAATGGGATATATGTGATTCATTTAGCCCAAGTGCATCTTGTTACTTCTGTAGGATCCTGTACAGTAATGGTATCCTCTTATCTTCACTACCTGTTTGGTAGCAGGAGCACACATCTAGGTGGGTGGGTGGAGCCTCATGCTGCCGCCACTACTGGTTCACTCGAACAAGTGTGAACCACCAGAATACCACCTCTGATCCTGTATCTATGGCTTTTCAGTTCCTTATATTACTCAATCAAGTGGCTATTTTGTTTTCACTAAACTTACGCTATTTAAAAAAAAAATTGCAAGCCAATCTTTCTCTACCTAATGGTTTCCAGACCTATTATTTATTTATTTATTTACTTACTTACTTATTTATTTATTTATTTATTAAGCTTATATACCGCTTCATAGGGCTTTCAGCCCTCTCTAAGCGGTTTACAATTTTTTTTAGCAAATTGAGTCAGCAACTTGCCCCCACAGTCCAGGTCCTCATTTCACCC